ACAAATTAAAGAAAATTAATTTTATAATAACAAATTAAAAAATCATGTCATGTAAAAATTTTCAAAACATTAAATGTACCTATCAAATAGGCTTGAAGCCTGGCGGCCGGCGACGTAACACTATTATACTGATCTATGCTCCTCACTTCAAGCTAATTATGTGTGTTAACAATAATAAAAAAAAGTTTAAATATGTGTTAAGTGTAATATCAAAAACAGTTTTATTAACCGGTAAAATGGTTTGCAGCCGGTAGCGGCAACTCTTGGACGGAATGAATTATTGAAACGACGTCGTTTCAAGCGCTTGTCCCCAACCGTCAGGTTGCCTTCCTCGCCATTCAACCTTCCCCTGTTTCCGAAAATTCACAAACCCCTAAATATGAATTCCTTCTTTGAATTCTTCATCTTCAATAACCACATCACCTTTTATTATTCGATTTCACTCTTTTTTCGCTTCATTCAGAACCCCTCTATTCTATCTTTGATTTCCCTAACTCGATTCCACTCTTTTTCAATTTCCTTTTCAGATCTCTGCTTGGAATCATAGAGGAAGAAACGAACCAAAAAACAAAATGTTGTGGAATAGGTTCACCCCGTCAAAAGTAAGCTTTCTTTGTTGGCACTTTTTGTTGGATCGTTTGCCGATAAAAGGTAATCTTATGAGTAGAGGTATTTCCTTGTGCCTTTCCCTTTTTGCCTTTTCTCATCTGGGTATTTGAATTTATTTGTGTGAACACTATTTTTTTATAAAATGATAAAGAAAAAATTTGACCGTGCTAAAGAAGTTTACACGTAATTTGGAAAAAAGCTGAAGGACTTTCACTTTTGGCAAGGCCATAAATTCTTGTGTCTAGCCCTACAATTTTGAATAATCCATCACTCCTTTGTTTCCCGACTTGTGTTCATCTTTAAGAAAATGGCAAGTTTAATATGGTTTTCCGAAATCCTCTGCCTTTCCTTCATGTTGTTGCAGTTTCGAGTCCAAAGCTCCTCACCTTCTCAATCTTCTCCCCATTCATCGCCACATTTGTGCCGTTCTGAAGAGCGTTCTGCATTGCTTGATTTCAAAAGCACTACGGATTTGATGGATTACTCTCGTTGTAGTCCTATAATACAGACTTGGAACGAGAGTAAAGACTGCTGCTTGTGGGAGGGCATCACATGCGACAAGGTGAAAGGTCACGTGATTGGCCTTGATCTCAGCAGGAATTGTATTGAAGCCAATCTAACTTCAAATAGTAGTCTCTTCCGCCTTGAGAAATTGCAGAGTCTCAACCTTTTTGTCAATTATTTTTATTATCCTAAC